TTCAGAGTGCTCTAAATATTTCAAAGGAGTCACTATCAGATAGATACCTTGGGATGCCAACGGATGTGGGTACTTGCAAGAATGGAGCCTTCAAATTCTTGAAAGACAGAGTCTGGAATAAAGTTAAGGGGTGGATGGAAAAACTTTTGTCAGCAGGGGGCAAAGAGGTGTTGATAAAGTCAGTGGCACAGTCCGTCCTGGTTTATTCCATGTCATGCTTCAAGCTGCCGCGCGGACTATGTGAACATATCAACTCACTGATCCGGAAATTTTGGTGGGGGAGTAAAGAGGGGAAAAGGAAGCCAAGTTGGGTCTCGTGGAGCACGATGACCAAGCCAAAGTATTGTGGAGGTCTTGGATTCAGGGATATCGAGCTTTTTAACTTAGCTCTTCTTGTAAGGCAAGCATGGAGATTATTAATGGATGCAGACTCGCTTAGTGCACGTGTACTGAGGGCCAAATACCATCCAGGGGCTGATATTTTGAATGCTGAGCTTGGATCAGCTCCCTCACAAATCTAGCGGGCTATAATCGAGGGTCGCGATGTTCTCAAACAGGGCATCATAAAACGTATTGGAGATGGACTCATGACACATATATGGGATCATAATTGGCTCCCGAGACCAGCAAATATGAGACCTATAACTAGCCTCCTCGCTAACCCGCCACAATGGGTCAGTGACCTTATTTTTCCCGGCGCTGAATGGGACCGAGCGGCAGTTTCACAGATTTTCTTACCCACAGATGCACAAGCGATCATGTCTATACCCCTGTGTACGAGACAAATCGAGGATTTCTGGTCTTGGGTACATGAGAAGAACGGTGTTTTTACGGTTCGCTCGGCTTAACGAATGCTGGTTGAAACTAAGATGCGAAGAGAAGCCTGGCTCGAGGGGAGAGGACATTCGTCAGATACCTCCACAGACGCCAAATCTTGGGATAGACTATGGAAAGTTGACATTCCATCAAAATTCAAAATTTTCCTGTGACGGTTAGCTCAACAGTCTGTTCCCACAGCTGATGTTTTACATCATCGGGACATGTCAACCTCGATGAGATGCGGACTGTGTGGATCTGAAGATTCATGGCAACACTCATTACTTCATTGCACGGTAGCTCGGTGTGTTTGGGCGCTACAAGATCATAATCTGGTGGAGACCTTAAATAGCACCCGTGAGCCTGAGGCACGTCGATGGCTATTCTCCCTGTTGGACACACTTTCTTCTGCGGAATTCATCCAGGTTGCAGTTACCCTGTGGGCACTGTGGTATGCACGTCGGCAGGCTCTCCATGAAAATATCTTCCAAAGTCCACTATCCACGCATAACTTTATCATGAGATATATCAGAGAGTTGGAAGACTATAAACCCAAGAAGATTGGTTCGATTTCTGCTAGAAGCACCGAACAATTAAGGCAAAAGTGGATCCCACCACCGCCGGGTCTCTCCAAGATCAGGGTAGACGGTGCGGTCTCCAGAGATAATCTGTATGGCTCCTTCAGCGCAGTCTGCAGAGATTCTTCGGGTCGGTTCCTGGGAGCTTCAGCAATCAAAATACATGGCATCACTGAGCCTGCAACCCTCGAAGCGCTAGCTTGCCGGGAGGCACTTGCACTAGCCTCAGACTTGGCTTTGTCCGATTTCATAGTTGCTTCTGACTGCCAAGGTGTGGTAAATGATATCAAGCATCACACGGGAGGGACTTATGCAAGCACAGTCAAGGAGATTGTTGACACATCAAGAGAGTTTCATCAGTGTACCTTCATCTTCGAAGGTAGAACAACCAATATCGAGGCGCACAGTCTCGCTAAACATGCTTTCGGTCTGGATCTAGGGCGCCATTTGTGGCTAATAAACCCTCCAGACATTCATTGTATCCCTATGAACTTATTTGATTAATAAAGTGTGTTTAGACTCAAAAAAAAATTCAATGAGATCCCACTAATGCAATTTAAATGGATGGGATAGTTAGTCCCACTTAAATCCACTTCCACCTGCAGCCTGAATGGCGCTCATGTGGATGGGATCGTACGGAATATGCAGGTGGCTCAAAGCCCTTGAGGGGTCATCATTGAAATTGAAACTCCAAAACAAACCAAAGATAAACCCAGGGTAAATAAACCAGGCAATGTTTCCCGGGTCCAACAAGTCACAGCGGAACTAGACAGTCAGCTTGGTAAGCTAAAAGAAAAGTTAGTGAAAATAATTGAAAGGATAAGGGCATGTAAGACAGTTTTATCTTAAGTTTTACATGTAATTTAAAGATGACAATAAAAATATGTCTACAATAGATTATTTTTGCCTAATTTTTTATAAATAGTATTCCCATGGTAAGACATATCTCTACTCCTAATAGAACAGTTGATGAATAGTCCGCCGGTTATTTTTCGCTGGGTTTTTTTCGTCTCACCGCTTTCGTTGGTTTTATTTCGCTGGTTTTATTTCGCCTCCCTCCCACCTGCCTTTTCGCTTCACCACCCACATAAACCCATCAGATTAGTTATCATATAAAAAATAAATCACAATCAATCAAGTATTGATGGACCACCCGCATAAACCCATCAGATTAGTTACCATATAAAAAATAAATCACAATCAATCAAGTATTGATGGGATATTTCCTTATATTGATGTAATTTTCCCTTTCTTATCATCAATCATCTCTACTGCCTAAAAAAATGTGTAGCTTTTCTTTTCCTGCCAACCGACCGCGTCCCGTCTCCCTACGTCCGCCCTCACGTTTGACCTCCCCCAAACCCCGCATGATGGAAAAACCCAGCCGCCTGCTTCCCCTCCTCTCGACCGCTCCATACGTCCAGATCGCAACCCCATCCCCATCCTCCTCTCACATCACGGCGGTCGATGGACTGCCGCCACCACCCTCCTACTCTCTCGCCGCCGCCGTCCTCCCGCTCGCTCGCCGCCGCCGTCGCCACCAATCCCGGCAAAGGCGCTGTTGCTGCTATGTCGCCTCCTTTCCCCATCCAAGCCTGACCATGGCAACGGCGCCCTCTCATGTGTCCCTCGGTGGGGTTTGGGTAGGCGCGACCACAATCCAGTAGGGATCTCACCGCGGACCCGTCCGCTGGGATGGGTGTTGCCTCCGTTGCGAATGGGATCGTAGGGAGGACTACTTTGTCGTCAAGGTCGGCGAGGCAGCGGCCGATTGGGAGCCCGGTTGTGAACATGGGAGTTCATCCCCATGGAGGCGGCGGCCGTGGAGATTGGATGTGAAACAACCCCACTTGCCGGTGGTGGAGGCTTGCCGTCCATGTGCTCCTTTCTTCTCCCGGTATCCCCATTCCTTGCCTCCCATTACAAAAGCAAGCATGAATGAGAGCAGGGGCTGATTTTCATCAATTCATTTCTCATATTTTTAGTTGCTTTTTTGAGATTATACAAGATGCTCCCGATCTGTTTTGACAAATTACTTGGATCGTCTTATGAAATTGACAGCCATCATATTTTTCACCTCATGTTATTTCTTAATCCTTGTCCCACTAGGCATCCACTACATGTTTGGTAATGACGTGATGTTGAGGCGGCTAGGAGAAGCTCAGCAGCCAGATCAAGGGCTATCGAGATGGATCTGGGAGCCAAGCAGTAGTTCTTCTGTTAAACTTTGGTTATTATCTTTTCTATTGTTACGATTGTGGAATGGTTGATTTTGACTCGGTGTAACATTTGCATTTGTTTCCCCAGCTTGTTGGCGTAGATGCGTGGCACTGCGGCAACTAATCAAGAGCAAGGGCAGTGCACATTAGAGCTACGCTGAATGTAGCAAGGCAACCACGAATTGGGTATGTTCACACGAGGGATGGGAGAGGAGAGGAACATTAACATTTTTCATGATTTGGATGAAAATTTCAGTTCATAGTTTCTCCATACGTGGCAACACACTAGCGGTGCTCATGGGCTTAGGATGAAAGTAGCGCCAGCGGAATCAGTATGTTGGATGGGAAGGCGGTTGTTGCCTCTGTCCCTTGGTGCTAGCCTATCGTGGCGGCCTCACTAACTTGCTCATTGCGAATACGAGTTCGTGGGGTCGCGAGTTGCTGCAGATTTGTTTTTATCACCTTTTACAATATTTATTGATGTATCCCTAACTCATCGAGTCATTTTTAGCTTTGATTTCCCATATACGCGAGCCTAAATATCCCATGATCAGAATATTGAACTCTTAAAGTTAATTCCCTCAGTTCTGGCGGCAAATATAATGCACATAATCCATATTGTTATGCACTAGCGTGTGTGTGTGAAATAGATGAATTATGGTTTCGTACCCAATAAGATGGATATGTGTGTGTTAGAGAGAGGGAGAGGAGGAGAGAGAGTGAGGAAGAGGAAGGGAGAGAGTGTGTGTGAGAATTTGATGATAAAAAGGTCGCCAATGTCGTAATATTGAACTCTTAAAGTTAATGTGGCCCCATTGCAACGCACGGGCGTTCTTCTAGTTGTGTTAGGAGATCATCTTTTAAAATAAAAGAAGACAAGTCATTTCTTATAATTTCTCAATCCTCCACGTCAATATTTATTCTATGTGGCATTCTATGTGGCATCTCTAAGATAGCACCACTATTGAATATGCCCTAATTAGTGACACAAGTTTGCTTAAATTATAACAAATGATTACATTTTTGTCAAATAACGTAATTGTTGCCACAAACGTTAACATGAGGGTAAGAAATGGAATTGTAACTCTAAAAATAGACAAGAATCAACAATTTGATAATTATACATATGAAGTTCATTAAAATATATAGTAGTATCTCTTACAGTAATCAGGGAACTGAATCCCCTGGTTCAAAATCACAAACTACTGTACCAAGCGAACTACTAGCTACGAAGGCAATATATAAGCAAGTAATTTACAATTTCACTTTGTGGATTCAGTACTACGTACGTACAAAATAATTATACAGACGACCTCCAAAAAATACAGAGACCTACAAGCTTTAAGCCTGGGCGCCTGGCTAAAAGATGGCTACGTACGAGCACCAACTACATGACGGCGCATGCCGCGTTGGGGTTCTCGTCGGAGAAGGCGGAGGTGTACTTGACCTCGGTGGAGGAGGCCCTGGCGAGCGGCGCGGCGTCGGGGTCGGCGACCACGTTCCGGACGTAGCCCGGGGGCGCCTTCTTGTCGTAGGCGCCGGGGGCGTAGGGGTGCGGCACCACGTCGTAGGGCACGTACGGCCACGGCTCCACCTTCTTGCCGGTCTTGCGCGCCACCCGCCTCATCAGCTTGGCCGGGTCGTCGATGTACCCGGTGACGGCCACCTTGTTCTGCTTGGGGAGCACCTCGACGCCGGTGACCCCGCGGATGCCGTCGACGGCCTTGCGGATGCGGCGCTCGCAGCCCTCGCAGTCGATCCGGACCTTCATCTCCACCGTCTCCAGCTGCGGCCGCTTCTTGATGTGCCGCCGCGTGCGCACCGTCGGGCACGCGCACATGTCCGACACCGCGTCCAGGATGCCCATCCTCACCTGACCTGAAGATGGATCGAGCGGCAAGCAGGGCAGCTCAAGGCTACAAGCTATAGCTCTGAGAAGATTGATTAGAAGTTCGAACGACGAGGTGAGAATGAATGGAGGAGGAGGAGGTCGGGGTCTCGGGGAGGACATATAGGTGCCTGGACGGGGGCGGGGGCGGGCGTACGGAGGGCGACGGCGACACGTGGGGAAGGTGCGTGTGGGAAGGTGATAGGGTGACCGAGATGGGTCTGGAGTCTCTGGATCCGCCGGATCTCCGTGTGTGGCCGGAGGTCGCCACGTGACGTGAACCCCCGAGAAGACTGGGAGGGGCCGGCGATCGAGTCGAGCACAAGGCCAACTCGGGTTGATACTCTTCACGGAAAATTAACAAACATTTCTCTGTTGGTTTTGGCTTCCGTTGCGTAGGCTTTCGGCAAACGGGGGCCGCCGTCCGTCGTTGTCCAAACCATTCTGGGTTGGAGTTTGGCGCATTGGAGGTTGGACTGAGCTTTCTTCTGCAGTACTCCCTCCATTTCTTTCTTTTTCTTTTTTTCCTTTTGAGCTGGGTACTCCCTCCATTTCAGATTATATATGGTGCATTTAGTTTGTTTTTTCTTTTCTCTTATAACCTACTTTCTTTATCCAAAAAAATTTGTCCCTCAAACGGATGTATCTATCATCAATATAGTGCTAGATACATCTATACTCCTATATAGTATACGAATATCAAGGTATATGGACCATTGAATTTCTACTCCTAATGGAGCAGTTGGTAGTCTCGCTTCCAGGTTTTTTTTCGTCCCACCTCACCCGGTTTTTTTGGTACTTCTTTGGTACTTTCTCCCACCTCCCACCCGTTTCATTTCGCTGGTTTTTTTCGTCCCTCCCCTACCCCACCGGTTTAGTTTCGCGTCACCCTCTCACACAACGAAAAAAATCTTAACGGATCATAACTTTCCATGCGTCACCCTCCCATCAATGCAATTTGATTTAGGAAACATATAATAAATTTTAAGGAAACAAATAACAGACTTTAAAGAAAAATCCAATTTTAAGGAAACAAATCAATCGATCCATCCAAATCAAATGATCCATCTCATCAATGCAATTTGCTTTAGGAAACATATAATGGATGTGAAGGAAACAAATAATAGACTATCTAAATCAATCGATCCATCCCATCAATGCAATTTGATTTAGGAAACATATAATAAATTTTAAGGAAACAAATAACAGACTTTAAAAAAAATCCAATTTTAAGGAAACAAATCAATCGATCCATCCAAATCAAACGATCCATCTCATCAATGCAATTTGTTTTAGGAAACATATAATGGATGTGAAGGAAACAAATAATAGACTATCCAAATCAATCGATCCATCCCATCAATGCAATTTGATTTAGGAAACATATAATAAATTTTAAGAAAACAAATAACAGACTTTAAAAAAAAATCCAATTAACTAATCTCTACTCTTAAAGGCCCCTCGATTGATTTTTGTCCCTCGCTTCCTTTCCCGGCACTTATACAATGGAAGGAATTATAATCCACCTATTTGTTCTCCTATATATCCGTGCAGGCAACACAACATAAACCGGTGAAAAAAACACTCACCTCGCACGTCCCCCTGCCTGCAATCCCGAAACGCCGCCATCGCTCCAGGCTCCAGCCTCCGCCGTCCTACATCTTGCCCCTCTCCAACCTCAGAGACCTCCGCCACCGCCGCCATCTCGGAACCCCAGTTCAGGGCAGGACTCAGAGAGGGTGTGGCTGTGGACGACGCTGCCGCCGTCGCAGAACCCTAGGGCAGGGCGTGGTCGCGTTGCGGGCAGCGCGAGCGGCCGTGCGTCTCCCCCGTCAGGCTGTCCTCGGCAGGAACTCGGGACCTCCTCCTGACAGAGCTAAGGCCCTCCGAGGTCCAAGTCGCTGTGCGGCGTGCACAGTAATCTCCCCGGCCTACTCTGTCTTCACGTCAATGCTCATGTGCTCCGACCCTCCCCGACCCCTCCCAGCAAGCAGCAGAGTCTCTCGGGTTCGAGCTCCACCGGGCCGCCGGCGGCGGCGTCCATGTTCGTTGGGCGGAGCACAACGCTAGGTTTGAAATTCACCATGATGCTACTGATGAGGCTCTCCTTCTCCTTTGTTTCGTCTGGGTTTTTTCGTCCCCCCTCCCACCACCCCATCTCGTCTGGGTTTGAAATCAATAAGAGCAGCACAAAGTCTAGGTCCCTGTCTCGGTGGCAGACGGAAGGAGGAGAAGGATTGATATGTATGAGAATATTAATATTGAACTCTTAAAGTTAATGTGACCCCGTTGCAACGCACGGACGTTCTTCTAGTCTTTGTAATCCAACGGTTCACATTCGATTGTTTTGGAGAGAGGGCTACGTGGCTGCATACAGACCGTATGATGGGCTAATCCAACGGTCCACCATGCAGGGATTCGCCGTGGGTGACCATCCTTGCGCTGCCAACCTGACACCGTGCATGCAGGCTCCCGATTCTTCCATACTGGGCACCGCTCCCTAGAAATCTCTGGCAGGCTCACGAGTAAACAAGTGCTGCCCTACAGTGAATTACTACTTGCAAGCTACTATACCAGGCAAGTACGAGTACGACTACTAGGCGACGTGACGAGGGAGAAGAAAATAACACATGCAGCATGCAGGATGCAGCTTCGGAACGGACAGATTAGAAATGACAAGTAAACTAGCTTAGTATGTGTTGTGACTAAATAGCTACGTATAGATACTTCCTAAACTCACATAGGTTCTCAGGCATGTCAAAAACATTTTCTCATTTTTTTGGTTTGTTAAAAATTCATACATGTACTGTTATCTACATGTTTCCTTAACTGATATTTTTTATAAAATAATTATGAAGAATACAGCCTCTGCAAAAATAAGAAGACTGTTCATGTTTATATGGATTTAAATAAGCTTTTTTGACCCCCTCGTGCTTGTCATTTTTGTACTACATGCAAATCGCAGTATATTTTTGGAAAACTTTTTTTATGCTAAATAACGCCTCTATTTGCATGCATGATTTTTCCGATGAATTTTTTGTATTAGTAGCGTATTTGCCTTTAGGGGAATATTACTAGCATATTTGAAAAAACAAATTGCTCCCCAGGGTGCCCGAGAATCAAAAAGGCTACTTTGCTACTTTCTCTTATAAATTCATTTTACAAATATTATGGCCCAGTTTTTTCTTTATTTTCCCAATGCTTTTGTTGCATAGACTTCTACTCATCAGACAAATTAATCACTGTATGCATGCGCGTGTATGGACTTTACTTGAAAAAATAATTAAAAAAATTTCAACAATCTGGTTGTATATTGTATAAAAAAAAGGCTGCAACCCCTCACCACACAACATTTCACAATGATCGTTAAATCTACACTTGCATGGCACGTGCCATGTACTAGTATACTTAAGGAATAAATTTGGGACAAATTTTTTCAGACGAAGAAAGTATAATATAATGATGTTTTTGAAGCTATATTATGGGACGAAGGAAGTATAAGACAGTGCACATTTACAATTTTGAGCCGTTCTGGATGAATGAACCTGCATGTGTCGAAAATAGAGCCTGACAAAATGGGAGGTTGTGCTAGTGGGTGGACATGGTCTATGGACAACCTGAAATTTTCTCTTGGTCTATTTTTCTTTCAAGTACACATAGTCTATACATAACCTTTTTAAAAAAATAGCCTACATATATTTATTTTACTAGAATAAAAAAATAAATTTACACAGTTGACAGTGCAAACTGCAATGGTAATCCCCATCGACCATTCCAGCTCCACCAAATCCTTATTTTTCTTGCTAGATGCATTGTTTTATGATGATTTCAATTCTTAATATTGTCCCCTTTCCAACATAAATGTGAAAACCGATTTAGATATTTAGTTATTTTTGTTCCTACATAATTGTACAGGAAGGCAAGATGAATAAAAGTAACATGACAATGGCATTTTTTTTCAAGTTCAAACCACGTGATCCGCCGAAACATGTCATTCAAAGCCGATCCATATTTGATGAATTGTAATGACCTTGGTCATCTTGTCATGAATGTGGTTGTAGTGATGTGCACACAACTTTTCCTTGGGTTATTAGTTATGCAACATAGCTTGACTTTTGTATGCCTGGAAACTGTTTTTCTTTTTTAAGTATTTTTTGGCCCTTAGTTTCTCGTCTAGGGCGTTAGCCAATCTTGGCTCTGCCACTGTATGTTATGATGGGCACGTTAGTCTAGTTATGGTCAGGGCCGGTCCTGAGATTTTGGGGGCCCGGGGCGGAACCAAAACTGTGGGCCCTTAGCGTCAATAATATAGTAGTAATAATGAATATATGCATATATGTAATGTTTACAAATATACACTTAAATGCATTAAAATAGTATGCATATTAAATAATTATACATATTACCTTTAAAAAATCAATCCTTGATGCAAAGTTACTTACGATGGAGTCGATGTCAATCTAATCCAACAACTTCTTCTCAGTGCATAACATTGCCAAACCATTTAAAGTCAGTGGAGTCATTGTCTCAAATAGTTCTTCAATATTTGTATCTTTGCAAAGCTTCTTTCAACCGGTGCCACAATTATATGCCTGTAAATAAGATTGATAAGCAATAGAGGCATTAGGATAAAAAATGACTTCCCTAACATGCTAGAAAATCACATAGTACACCACACGACGAAGTGAATTTATAATCTTTAATTCACAACCGAAAAGGCCAAACTGGATGTTCATCAACACTAGCAGATTGTGCATGTGCACCTGTTGAAATAATTGTACTATCAGACTAACTTACATTTTTATCATCTATATTGATGTCAACATTTTCCTGTTGTTAAGATTCAGAATTCCCATCAATTTGGTTCTCTTCCTCCACAAAATCACCAATTCACCATTTGGAATCTACGAAGCATATTACCTTGATAATTTTATCAAGAGCGCCTCTGATGTATCAACTCGTCCACATATTGTACTATCTTTGTTAACCATGCTGGAAATAAATAAATAATGGCATCAAAGGCTGATGGGGACCAGCCATGCACGATGTATGCAAAGGGAAAATTGGTTAATTTAGTACTGAACATATAGGGATTAGGGAATAGTATAATATACCTTGGATGG